CACGAAATAAATGGTAGTAAATTACCATCTACTTTACAAGTGTTGAAAACATTATTTTTTAATTTAAGAGTAGTAAAATTAGGTGTTCGACAAAATGTGTTACTGATTTTACGCAAAGTAATGATTTTTTGGGATAAGGCGCGGATTCCAACTATGTTGGAAAAANTTTTTTGGGATAAGGCGCGGATTCCAACTATGTTGGAAAAAAATTTTGTTGAAAAAATAGAACGTTTGTATCAAGAGTGGCCACTTCTACAAAAACACGCTGGTAGAATTACAGTTAGCTACAAAGAAAAAGAAGATGCTTTTACATTAAAGTTTGATAATGCACATATTGATGTTTTAAGCCTTATAAAAATAGATGAAAATATACTATTTTTGATAAGTCAAATGGCGACCAAGATTCTTGCATAGGATTTCTAATAAAATTAACAATAATAATGATAACGAAGAAATAGAAACTGACAACATAAAGGTCTTACAGGGTATGTTGAATTAAAATTTAAATTATCTAAAAATTTACATTAAAAATAATATAACTTATGATAAAAATTATTTTTAGATTTGGCAATTTCAATGGTATCCACTACATTAAGTGAGAACACTGATACTGATGATACTGATAACAGTTATGAATTGCCACTACTAAAAAAGCTGAAAGATAACGACAAATAATTATTTCTAAACTAGTTTGTGTTATGGACAGTCGTAAAATAAGCGATAGAGCTGCTGTACACATACTTGTTATAACTCTTCAACTAGATACGATTTGTGATCTTTTGACGCGTTGTTGACAAAAATCAATCCAGTGAGAGCTGAAAAAAAGTAGTGGCAGAAACAAAAAAAAAGAAATAAACCATGGTAAAAATATTCCTTCTTAACTTCGTATCGAAGCTAAACGAATTACTACTTAAAAATAATATTTTTTTTTCAAAATTATTATTTTGGAATATTGTAATGGTCAAAAATAAATAAATCAAAATCAATAAATATTATATTTTTTTCAATCACTTTTTTATAATTATTATTAAACATCCAAGCTAAAATAAAGATATTATAATAGAACATTTATCTTCTTTAAATATATTTAAAACGTTATAATCTCTTCAAACTTAGATAGTCTTCTGTGTCAACGACAACTCCAATAGTTTTCTCATGCTCATTATAGAAGAGATAAATACACTTTTTGCCGTCCATATGTTTTTTAGAGTAATTAGGCCCGTTTTTGTCAAAATACACCCATTCACCTTTTCTTATGCACAAAAAAATACACACATCCAGGTAATGTGCTACAGCAACATATTCTATCAAACTACATTTACTAATTACATTACCTAAAATATATGCAAGTTCTTAATTCTTTTGTAATTTTCTTTACCCTTGTTTGTATAATAAAATATTCAAGCAACAATATAGTTTCTTAGATTTCATAAATTAAGATAAGGTAAATTATATAATATATTAAAGTTTTATATATATCACATACATTTTAGAAAATTTATTTTACGGCATATTAACTTAAATTAAATTATTAATTAAATTAAAATTAAATTCTACCTATGGTCCGGTAGTCATATATGATAGATGACATATCGCACAGTTTAGGTGGTGGTGTTCTTGCTACTATAGCTAGTCGTTATGCAAGTAGCAAACCACGTTGATGCTGCAAAACCCATTTGTAAGTATAATTTACACGGAAGTCAATATAATAAATTATACGTAACTAAGAGTGTATATATTACAGTTCTTGATCTTAATTTTATCTGAATCAATTTAGATTGAGTTTATAGATATATGTACAATATTTTACTATTTCATATGAATTCAATTTGTATGACATTAAAGTGAAATTACTTTAGTTGTGAAAGAAAGGACTTGTATACCCTGATACGTGTTCAGTGATTTGCTAAAAAAATGTATGATTCTATTGGGTAAATCAGCGTGAAATCGTCAAAAAAGTTCTTTAAGAACCAACGGACTGAATTACCATTGCTACAAAATCTATTAATAAAAAACTCTATGCCATGTAGTACCAGGATCACGGAAAGAGATAATAACTCCAGCAGTAATACTACAGGATTAATAATGTAACTTGTATTGCGTTACCAACAAAAAATTTTCATCAACAGTAATGAGAGATGATAGTATGTTTTATTATCTTTGATTATTAATTAGGACTGCATTTAGGAATTCTTTAATTCAGAGAAAAATTTTCTGGATTTTTAATGCATCGATAATTATTTTATTACATCATTAGAAAAAAGGTCCTCAAATCTATAATATACATTGCTTCACATTTTACTGTCACACTTAAAATCTGCCGTTTAAGGTATCTGCATCCTGAGGCGGGCGGCGATCCGGACCGTATCGGCTTACCGAACGGTCTCCGGAGTGGCGGCGGGAATACTGTCGTCACTGCCGCCCACCGACCTGCTAGCCACGGAACGGGCCGCCGGACATGAGCTCTGCCGAGAGCGCGGCCGGCCCCTCGAACCCGAGGACCGGTTGGCGCTCCGGCGGACCACCATGCTCCGGTGGCGGGCTCGCCTCTTGGAGGAAACGACGAGAGGCGAGTGGACTAGGTCCCTCATAGGACCCGACCACCTGGAGAGGTAGGTGGACCGGACACACGGTGAGATGTCTTACCGTCTCACGCAAGTGTTGTCCGGCCACGGCTGCTTCAACAAATACCTTCACGGTATATGGAGGGCAGCCGCGCCGACGTGCGACCACTGCCAGGATCGCCCGGGAGAGGCAGACAACGCTCTGCATACCCTCTTCCGGTGCGAGGCGTGGGCCCAGGAACGGGACTCGCTGGAGTCCCGTCTGGGGTCCACGATCCGCGTCGGGTCCTTGGTGGACCTGATGTTGGGAAGCCGGGAGGCGTGGAGGCTCGTCCAGGCGTTCGCGGAATCCGTCCTGAAAAGGAAGGAGGAAGCCGAACGCCTGAGGCAGCGGCAGCCGCGCCGCCCGGTACAGGAGGACCTAAGGCGCTGGTTTAGGCCGGTGCCTTAGGTATAAGTGTGCTTATATGTTTGTGAATTATTTTATGCCCCCTTCGCAAAGTCCTGCNTTTATGTGTTTGTGTGTTATTTTATGTCCCCTTCGCAAAGTCCTGCCCCCACCTCCACGCGGTGCATCCCGGGAAGCGGATCCCGACTTTTGGGATCCAGCTAACGGGGGAGGCCACACCAAGTTGTGAATCAGCTCTTGATTAATTTCGGGCTGATTCACAACGTGGTGGTGTGAGTTTTAGAGACGGCGTGGGCCGCCCTGAGGCAATACCTAACGGTAGTTCCGGGGCGGTCCGCATGTAGGCCGGTCGTGTTAAAAAAAAAAAAA